ATACTTTTAGCTTTTAATTTAAGCAAAACATTTCAAATTTAAAAACTATTTAATGTAATGTTTAACATAATTGCCTATAAAAATGTATTTACATATTTACATTTTTTAAATAATTGTCATTTTATGTAATTTTACACGTTTTAAAACCTTTTAGCTACTTTACTAACATCAGAGACGTCTCGTTGATTTTGGGGCTATGTGTGAAAAATAAAATTGGGCTCTTAAACATATTTTTTTAGTATAAACAAAATTCATTAATACTATGATAAGTTGATAATTGTCAGAAAAATAAAGTACGATAATATATAATATAATCTTATATAGTTATATTAATCGCAATACTATCATAACATTCTTAGAAACAAAGCTGTTCACCAACTCTTCAAAATAATACTCTCTAATATATTATTCTCAATATCTATCAAATATATTATTCTCAATATATATCATTTCCAAATCATTAAGTCTTTCTTGTGGAATCATGGACCGTAATAAGACTTTAACAACTTCAATTTCAAGAAACTTCTTTCTACAGATGCAACAATCACTAAAATAATCAACAAAACTCTATATGCATCAATTGCATCAAGAAAACAATTGACTTTTTCAAATATTTTGAAACATAAGTGAGGTTAGTGGTTTTACTCGGTAAGAACTCGCCAACCAGATTTAACTCTAGATAAAGTTCATTAACGTCAATATTTGATCGTTCACTATACTTAAGTGCAGCTCCATGACAAATACAACAAAACTTAATATCTTTGTCATCAAATTCATTTAATGTTTTGGAAGCAAAAAATCATACTTCTTTTCATACTTTTTTTTTTGGTAGCTGTTGCTTGAAACTGAAACAATCAAACACACAAGCTATGGTAGAAGTCGATCGATTCTAAAGTAAAAACACAACAAATGATCATTGGATTTTTTAGAAAATCGTTTCTGATTTTTGAAATTGAAAAAATCAATTAATCAATAAATAATATGAAATTGAAGGCCAAAAGAGATTATGAAATTGAGTGATCTTATTGGATTTTGAAACTTACGATTTTGATTTTAGAATTGAGATGGTGCATTGATTTTGAAACAATCAATAAATCAACAATTAAACACACACACCCTCAACAACTTAGCAGGTTCAAGTGAAGACATAGCATCGTAGCGACTTCCGATTTAGATAGACAAGAATCAAAGGTAAACTGACTTTGTCATGATGACGATACCCTTGGATAATTTTCTACTATGATGAATTGTTTGTAAAAATCGGACCCCTTCCATAGCATGGGTCTATGTGGTCGTCTACCCCACACACTCTCAAAGACGCTCATGACAGACATTCATATAAAACATAAAAACTACAATTTTTAGCTATTACCCAACTACTAGCATCTAATTTTACTAAACACACCCAAAGTGTAGATCACTTACCTAATTTGAAAAGACTATATACTAGCAACCAAAAAAATGCTACGTAATCCTGCCTCTCTACTTTTGCTCATAAAGGCCTAAAGGGGAAATCCGAGTGAGACGTTATATATTTTTTATTCCTAACTGTATTTACAAATTATTTATTATTGTCTACTAATAATTATTAATAAATAATGTACGTGGATTTTGTCGAATGTATTTATGCTTTATACTTTTTGAGTTTTATTTTTAATGGTATTATTTCGTTCGCAAAGCTACATGAAAAATAGTATTGTAAGTTTTAAGTAAGCAACGCCAACAGATAGGTATTGGTGTTTACCAATTAGATTATTTTGATACATCTATTCATGTTCAATATGTTTTTTAAACGAATGAATATTAACACATTTGCCGATAATACAAAATACAAGTTATTTTTGAAAGAAGTACATTGCATTTTTATTAAAATTTGTGAAATATTGGAACAATGTTTTATTTTGTTATTAAATTATGCAACAATGTATCACTTCATACCAAAGTTTAGAGATTTTTTTAGAGATTTATCTATTTATATAAAACTTATTTAAATAAACACAATTTACTACTGGAACTCCCGTTTTCATCAATCAAGTTATTTCAAACAAAATAAATAAATAATAATACTTTTCACATGTAAATGTTGTTTTTTGGTGTACAAATTGATGGCCACGTATCTCACATGAAGCGGAGAGTATTTTCCCACGAGTAAAAGCCCAAGCCATGCCCAACTACAACCCCGCCTTCTGCTACGTGGTTGTACGGACGACGGGTTTCAGATAGAATCTACAGAATGAGAGCGTTGTACGGCGCGTGCACATCGGCTCTCCTTACCAACGCCGTCACGCGCCAATCGAGTCTCTTCAGCGCGAGTAAACAGCAGTCGTGTCAGCGGCTTAGAGGAGGAGCTATTAGTGCCAAGGGTGGAATGGCAGTTGCGACGGCGGATGACCAGCGGTTGAAGAAAGGAATAGCGGAGTTCTACGACGAATCATCAGGAGTTTGGGAGAATATATGGGGAGAACACATGCATCACGGCTTCTACGACCCCGACGCCGTCGTACAGATCTCCGACCACCGATCTGCTCAGATCCGTATGATTGAACAAGCACTCCAATTCGCCTCTGTTCCTGGTATTTATCATACCTTTTTTTTTTTCTTTATTAAATCATGGTATCTCGCACTTTCACCAGTTAGTCGACGAGTTGCATGTAAAACGCCAGGCTCAATAGCACAGTTCCTAGTATAAGCCATGCGTGATTGAGTGCAGCATGTCGACTAAGCTCTCGTTTTGAATTAGTTTTGATTTCCCACTGCATCTTTCATTTCAATCCTAGCATCCTCGAAATTCGAATCCGTTCTTAGTTTGTACTCTTTAATTCGATTCAATTCAAAATACACGCATATTTAGACTTTTTGATGCAGCTTATCAATGTTAATTTCCAATACGTACTCTTTTAATTCAATTTAATGGCACTCAGACCATCCATGAATGAAATGAATGTCCAACTTATTTTTTGAGATTATCAGTTTCTTTCTCATTGTTACCGGCCTTGTTATTCTACCTCAGACTCCCCCTTCTTTTCTTATATCAAAGCTTCTTTCTTATATGAAGTTTGTTTACATCGAATGTGTTCATGCCCTTGGTAATTAGTTCATCAACATCTTTTCAAAGAATCCAATTGAAAGATTTCAAGTAAAGGATCATGCTAATGTCATATATCAATATGATCAATTGGTATTTCCCTCGAAGCTATATATCTATATGTTTTCAATTTTCACCAAACATGATGAACAATTTTTCTTATAGAGGACTCCCAAAAGAAACCTAGGAGCATAGTTGATGTTGGATGTGGCATTGGAGGTAGCTCAAGGTACATATCAAGAAAATACGAGGCAGAATGTTATGGCATCACCCTCAGCCCTGTACAAGCCAAGAGAGCCAATGATCTTGCTGCTTCCCAAGGATTGGCCAACAAGGTATCAATTTTTACACTTTAAAAAAAAAAAAAGTTCAACAAACAAACTACCCCACATCTTATTCCTACATATATACATATTCTATCATATGAACTCAAGTTGACAGTTGACAATCTATGAACAATAAACAGGTCTCATTTGAAGTTGCAGATGCTTTAAACCAGCCGTTTCCTGATGGAAAGTTTGACCTGGTTTGGTCAATGGAGAGTGGAGAGCATATGCCTGACAAACTAAAGGTTCTGTTGACTTCACCCCATATATTTGGAGTCCCATGCGTTTTGTTGTGTTCTGAATCTCTTTATGCTGACAGTTTGTTAGTGAGCTGGCTCGTGTAGCTGCGCCAGGTGGCACCATAATTATAGTGACATGGTGCCACAGGGATCTTTCCCCTAGTGAAGAATCCCTACGACCAGAGGAAAAAAGGCTTCTGGACAAGATTTGTGATGCATTTTATCTTCCTGCTTGGTGTTCTACTTGTGATTATGTAAACTTATTGGAATCCCTTTCACTTCAGGTAAAAATATATATACAGTTTTCCAATACATGGTTTTTGGATCAAAATTGAAAATTCATATAATATTTTTGAGTATTGGCAGGATATAAAATCAGCTGACTGGTCGGAGAATGTTGCCCCATTTTGGCCAGCTGTGATAAAGTCTGCATTGACATGGGAAGGTCTAACTTCATTGCTACAAAGTGGTAATTAATTGGCTTTTACTTTTTTTTTTTTTTTTTTACCCTTTATACTGTTGGTATTTGGTGATGAGAGAAATGAATATTGGAACTGATTTGAGTAGGATGGAAGACTATAAGAGGGGCATTAGTGATGCCGTTGATGATTGAAGGATTCAACAAGGGTGTGATTAAATTCTCGATTATTACATGTAGAAAGCCTGAATAAGTATATGTATTCCTAGACTCCTACTGTTTGTGCCACATTGGTAACTGAGAATAAGATAACACATGAAATACAAAAGAGAATCTTGAATGAAACAAAGTAGAATTATATCTTTACAGAGATGGGTGAGACGTGTACGTTCTTCACTTCCTTTTTTTTCTGTTCGAAAAAGGTGAAACTTATTGACAAGTTTTGTTGATTCTGTTTTGGGCATATGAGCTAGACAGTAGTAGTACACGCAATTTAAAACCAGTGGTATTCACCAAACTAAAGTTTGAAGTTGATGGTTTTCGGGGTCCTTTAAAACGAATATTTTTGGAAATGATAGCTATGTCTATGGAAACTATAAAATACCATTAACTACTTGTGGAAGTAGAAGGTAAGAAAATTATAGTATAAGTTTTTTATTTTATTTTTTTTATTATTATTATGTGGAAAACATTGGATTTGAATATCTGAAGTAACAATTAAATGTCACCCGACAAATGAGGAGTTTAGTACAGTTTATAAGAGGCAATCTCAAACATCAAACAAGAATTTCCAAATGATAAAACAATTGGTGCTCATGTTCTAAGACGAAATTCGCAATTCAAAATAATAAAAATGAAGATGAAAAACAGAATGATCCTCCATGCTATCTTTCAAACTAAATATTATTCATTCCCTCTCACCTTACACGAGGCTATTCTTGTGTTTTCTCCAAACGTACACCTTCCATTTGTTGGGCTACTGGGACATAGTGGCCATGGGGTAAGAATATAAGTAGAAGAATATTTAATTTCTTAATTTTTATATGTATTTTGTCAACAAAAATTATAAACATCATTTTTCTTTTTGTCCCGAAAACAATCTAATGTCTCCTTCAGATTTTAATGTTCTTAAAACCACTAGGAACACTTTAAACAATATCATAAATAAGAACAAACAAATTATAAGGCAGAAAGAAAAAGTTGGTTAATTTTTTTTTTTATTTTTTTTTTTGTCAAATATAAGTCTTTTTTAAAAAAAATTAGGTTTTTCCGGGAAAAATGGTAATTACTGGAAGGTTATCCAGGAAGAATTGTCAAATATAAGTTTTTATTGTCCTCTAGAGAAAAAATGTTAATTACTGGAAGATTAGCTGACGTTCTTTCCATATACCAAACATTATATTCAAGTCATACCAGAAGTTAAATTACTTTATCAATAATATAGCTATACTTTAGTAATCATGTCCATTCTATCATTTTGTTCAATCTTAATTAATTTAAGGAAATTATAATTTGATACAAACGTGTACATTGCATCCATCGTATTGGAGAAACGACACAAGACATGGTTTAATGGCAAAATAAGTATTATTAATAGTAATATTCACTTACTAATATATCATTAAGTTACAGTCACATTAACAAAGAACATCTTGATATGAGTATTGACATTTGTAAGTTGTAAGGAAGGCTATGCATAAAAATAAAATGAATCAATACTTATCACTGAAAATATATTCAAATGTTTATAAAAGGGAGGCGATTCTTTCACACATAAAATATAAGTTTCACTGACTTGTATAATAGTTGCAAGGGTGTTGCGAATCAATTTCATAATTGGAAAAATCACCTCCGGAAATGAAAACTGTGGTTAGAAGTTTGTGCTTGAAAAAAAAACACGAATCTCACTATGCTACACATAGTCACTCATTAAGTACGATGAATACTGAGCTTAGAAGGCAAATCCACCTTGAGGAAAGCTTGTGTGATCAATTTTCCCGACTCTTTGAGGTGGCCAGAGAATGTGTGTAACCCTTCCACGAATTAACCCCAGTGGAATCTGTAAACAAAATTCAATATTTAGTAACATTTTAGTTTTCATGTTTAGGGCATAACAAGTACATACAGGGCCAAATGATCTGGAGTCCAGGCTGTTGGTGGGATTGTCTCCTTCAACCCAACAATGGCCTTCTGGAACCTTGACAGCATCATATGAATATGGAAGACCGATCCAGTCACCTGGCATGCCAGTTATACGTTTTATCATGTGTTTCTCCTTGTAACTACTTGGTGAGCTGCAAAAACATCTCATCTCTCCATCAGAACTTTATATATAAGACAGTAATGGAAGTAAAAAATAAGTTGTTACTATACCAGAAAACTACAACATCACCATGTGAGAACTTGTAATCCGTGAGGCAACGTTTCTCCACCAAGACATGATCATCTGCAGAGAAAAAACCATTAATTAACTCAGTCAATCAAACTAGCACAACCAAACTGTGTAGGTTTTCTCTAAATTAATTAGAAACCTACCAGTAAACAATCCCAAATAATTGGTCTTGTCAGGATTGAATGTGGGTGACATAGAGTATCCCCTTACAGGGACAATACTAGCAACACGGTCTGATATGGTGAGACCTATTAACCCAAATGTCAACGACGATTTGCACACATTCCACACAAAACTTGGAGTTACCATTTTTCTAATTAAAACACAAATCAAGAATCAAGATCACCATCAAGCAAAATCCATCTGCATTCTGCAACCACAAAAAACAATCAATATAGACATTAATTAACAAACAAGCACTACAGCTCTTGTTTATCCTTCTTCATATACAAACACTAGCAGTTCAAACAATTGACCGATATAAAGAAAAAAGAGCTTCCAAGTAGTACCTTTGACATACAAAAACTGACATAATCAAACTTGTTTATTAATATAGACAGTAAAGCAAAACACACAATGTGATTAATCTGAGATGAGCTTTTTTTCATCACAATCAAATCAAGAAATACATATGGCATTCAACAAAATTAGAACTTGCGAATAACCCCTGAGCGCATGTGTCTGTGTGATAATTGATTAGTTGACAGGAAATTTGTGATGAATACATGGAGAAAGTTGAGCGAATACGTACTTGGTGAGCGGAGGAGCAACCGGCCGGGAGCGGTGGTGGGGGAGTTGCGCCCTTGCTGTGTCTGTGCCTGACGAATTTGGCTTTTTGTGTTTGCTTTTTTCCTAATTTGATTTATGCAAAAGTTACAGTTAACCCACGCCAACTTTACTCATAGTTGTAATCTCACCCTCAGCCCCCAGATCCTGTTAATTACAATCATGCCCCCGTCTTCTGCTTCCGTGAATTGCCATGGAAATGGAGATGGAAAAGGGTGTGAAGAGATGGTTGGTCAACATATCACAGTGGAATCCCACACCCAATGAATTCTCCATCGCCATGTCTGTTTTACCTCAAGAACAACACTCCTCTATCACCAGGTAAGACCGATATTACTGTTATAGTTGAATTCGACTTCGCAAATTGAAACCTTTTGTAGTTGAATCTTTGTTGGTGGGGTGAAATTAATTAGGTTTACGAAAACTGAAGACCAAAAGAGGGCACTTGTGAGCCGGCTGTTGCAGTATGCACTTGTGCATGAGGTTCTAGAGATTCCATTTGAAGAGATTATCATCAATCGAACTCCTGAAGGCAAGCCTTATCTGGTATTTCTTCGAATTGGACTGAAATTTCACGTTCTTATTATGCTTTTGTGCCTCTGACTCTGATCACTATGTCATGTATGATCATGTATTCATGTCCTTGCTTCTCTCTTCTAGGAAAGCCATAAGAACAGTATGAAATTTCCAAATTTCAACTTTAATGTATCTCATCATGGTGACTATGTGGCGATAGCCTCTGAACCCATTTGCCTTGTGGGTTTAGACATTGTATGTTGCGTCAATCCTGGAAAAGAAACGGTTTCAGAGTTCATTCGCAATTTCTCATCATACTTTTCAAGTTCAGAGTGGGAAAAGATTGTCAATGCTGGTTCTGATGATCATGTCCTGGACGTTTTTTTCAGGTGAAGCTACAATTCGCTTGCTTGTTTTCTTGATTAAAAGGCATTCTTTTTTTGTATCCTCCCTAAGTCAAAATAAGGAAAATCTAAGATTTTCAAGGTTCATATTAAATGTACTTGATGATTGTAAATGGTATGATTAATGTATGGTTTGAAAATGGAACAGGAATTGGTGTTTGAAGGAAGCATTCGTAAAGGCCTTGGGAACAGGAGTTGGGTATAAATTAGATTATGTAGAGTTTCAACACAAAGATTGGGCTGATATATATGTCAAAGTAGATGGAGATACATTGAAGGACTGGAATTTCTGGCTTTTTGAACTTCAAGGGAAACATCGGGTTAGTGCCCTTTAACTTATCTTCCTTAAATCGTTTAAGGTGTTTGGTTCTTTTTGACTTAATGGGCTTATTGGGGACGACACAATTCACTTGATCTATTAAGCTATATATGGGTAGTGTTTCATTTTAAATAATTGTAATTTAGTTATACATTGAACTATATATAAATGGAAAGTATTGTCTATTTGACTCTTTTTTGAGGATTCATGTAGGTTGCCGTTGCTAGGGGTCACCCAAGAATGGCCGCTGAAAGTTACAAGAAAACTCTCAAACGGACTCATTTTGACAGTGATCTTTACAAACTAGGTTTCCATTTACCAAATCCGAGGTTTCTTTCAAGAACAGTTGAAGAACTTTGTGCCCTTTTCCCTTTATGTTCATACAAAACTTTAATTTGACAATTCGTTAATTGTATTAATACTTCACATATTCTAATGGAAGACAAAATGCATTGTAATTGAATTGATTCCATTTTATGTAACACGTCTAGAAAATCAAGATAGTGTTGTGCATTATATTAGTTGTATCAATCTGTAATTTTTCATCACTTGCTTTTTCGCTTCTGAACTTGCATATAGTTTGTTATAATGTCCTTATGTAAGGCATGACCTTTTTGTATCATTTTGCATTAAACCTTGATTGTAACTCGTAAGAGACATGTTAGTGATTTGTTATCATCAATATTATTTAAGTGTAATGGATTATTTTGTTAACCAAAAGTGATCTTGATAAATATTAAACCAGTAAGGAAGATGTGGAGTATACACTTGTTAAGTTTGATCAAGTTTTCAAAGTACACTGTCATTTAGGGGCGAAACCCTTAAACGAACGGGGATCCGGGGTAGCGCCCCTGGGAGCGGGGTCCAAAGGTATCTTGCTATATTAAAAATGCATCAGAAAATCAGATTTTCAAAGAATTGACCATTGTTTGATCCTTATCCAAACTTCCATTTTTATGTCAGTTTTTATAGTTTTATGACAGTATGAAACTGTCATATGACAGTTTTCAGACAAAGATCATAAAGTCGGTTTTGGTCTCATTTTCTGGTATATACGAAACTATCATCAAAACATTCTAAATTCTTGTCTCTCTGAATCTTATCTGATTAAAGAATATTAAGAATATCACCCAAATGCTTTAATCTGAAAGTGTTTTACACAATTCTCAGAATTCCAAGCCTTACTATACCCTAATTTCTAATAAGACAAAACTGAGGGTGAATTTTTTAAACCCAACCCACTTGGCGGGTTTGAAGGATTTTTAAGTTCTTGGATTTAATTTCTTATTTTTGTCCATTTTATTTAAAACCTTAAAGCCATTAATTGTGATTGTAATTTCCCTAATGTATATCCCTTACACATGACATAATATTAATAAGGTGTTGTATTAGAATGATACATGACAAAAAGAAATTAAAACTATTCTTTTATATAGGGTATATGAGTGTATGCATAATATTATAACATAAAAAGTTTTGTCACTCATAATTATATAGCATCATTTTCCAACCACTTATCGTAAAAAAGTGTTATACATCGCTACTTACATTCACAAACTATAACTCTACTGTCTCTACATCAACGTAACATACCTTAACATGAGGGGGGACCTTAACACTCGGTTTCAATATGAATTAAATGTTTTTTGAAAATTCGAACAATGGAGTCGGAGCTAGTTCAACCACCACTAATCTTCGATTTAACAAGAAAGAAGCCTCCACCTCCACATTTCTTTAAAATATGTGACTACAACCGAAATTCTAAGATTTTAGATGAAATTTTGTATTTCATCACTATTTTTTTTATCTTCATGAACCTTACCAATCAGTTTTAAAAATGTAGATGGAAATAAAGAACATATTGCCTTTTTTTTTCTCAAGTCGATATGAATTCTATTTGATGAATACAAAATATATACTAATAATGTTCTGGAGTGTATGAAGTTACATGATTTGAATTTGCATGCAGTTGGAATCAAAGTTAAGTTACATGATTTGATTTTGCATGCAATTGGAATCAAAGTTAGTTTATTTATTTATTATTTTTTTCATTAATTCATATGATATGATAAAATTGAGGTATTTTTGAAGTCCTAGTTGAAAAGAAATTTGAAATTGAAGATATTTAAATTGACAATCAACTCTTAATAAAGTCATATCTTCCAACTTCACCCTATCATTTTTTTTTTTTGTTGAATTTGTTATATCAAAATTTTGACGTAATTGGGTGATTAGGCAATTGATGGATGTTAAAAGCTTATGATTTATGTGATTATAAAGAATATGTTACATGTTATTGTTAACGAAACTTTTTATTATTTTGTTATATGTAAATATGAATAGTTTATTTGCTTTTTATAGATTTAAAATATATTTTTGGATATAAATTTAACAAAAAATAATAATAATTTACAAAAAATAATAAAGGGTTTATATTATTTCACTATTGACATTTGGTATTCCATGGGTGCCATATCTATAATAAAATAATCATAATTTTTTTACCATATTGATTTGAAACTTATATAAATTTTAAAGTTCGTTATAATAATGATTTTATTGGTTAATTAATGTTTAAAAAAAATCTACTAACCTTTGATGATATTTTGTTAATTTTATTTTTTTTGAACGCCAAAGCAGCATATAGTAGCACAAAAAAGAACTTAAGCGATAAGCTCAAGTCAGGAAACAAAGGAGTTCAAAGTTGGAGACATACACCAAGCAAACCAATCTAAATTACAAAACTTGGATCTAGATTTAATCCAATTGAAAGCGCTAATACTAATATCATCCACAACCACCATGACCGCTCGCCTTTCGTTTCTAAGCATCAAGGCATTACATGTCTTCCAAATTATTCAGAGAGTGGTGTAAATGAGATGCATTCCCATATTTTTCTGTTTTTGTCACCAGCCATCGAGATAATCCAATCTCTCAAATGTGAAGAGGAAGCAGGTTGCACCTCTATAATAGAAGACCATCTAATCAACCAACTCCAAATCTTCACAACAAAATTGCATGAAAAGATTATATGGTATGTGCTCTCCTCCAAAGAACAGTAGAAACGACAAAGATTCGAAGAAATATTAATGTCTCTTTTAATCAGATTTTGAGATGTAGGAATCCTATCTTGAAATAATCTCCAAACAAAGCTGTTAATTTTCAATGGAATCCAATTAACCCATCGGCACACCGAACCTGAGATTGAACTTGCATCATAAATAATTTGCCTCATGGAGCTAACCAAAAAAACCCATATAGAGTCACATATCCACAACCATTTATCACCACTTCTGTTAAACTCAAGTTATTTGTGTATATCTTATGTTTGTAATCTTTTTCTCATGTGGTTCAAGATAAATTTTTATTATGAACCATTGCAAGTTGCTTTATTCGTAAAAGAATTTAGATTATTTATTAGTTTAATTATGATAGTAATTTTAAATTTTCAACCCAATATGTTTAATTAATTTGTTAATTTAAAAATGATACCAAATATCAAAGAAACTAATAAAATTTCAAAAGACTATCATTTTAAAAATGATACCAAATATCAAAGAAATCAATACGTTTAGTTTGTGTGGATCGTTCATGACCTGGGGTCTTGTTTCCTTGATCGTTTATCTTGCTTGAGGTCATCGATATGCCGGATGGGGCATTGTCCTCTTAATCCTTTGGTTTGCAAATATGAGGGACTTAGCTTCTCAATAACCAGGTCCTTGTGCCTTATAGATTTTGAAAATAATCCTTTGTCTTGCACCAACGAGATGGACTACACATGTCAGTGTTAGGCTTGTTCCCTTGATCCTTTTGGCTTTCATGGTTTGGTCATGGGCCAACTTATGGCTTGCATGGGGTCATTTCCAGTGCCTTGTTTCTCTTATCATTTGGCTTGCATGGGGTAGTTTCGAGTGCCTTGTTTCTCTTATCATTTGGTTTGCATGGGGTCGTTTCCAGTGCTTTGTTTCTATTTTATTTTTATCACTCAAAACATGTTATGAGTTTATATTCCTTCAAATTCAAATTACTTTGAGTCTGTATTTATTTGCTAGATTCTAATTCCTTTTAAAACATTATTCGAACCAAATGACATCTTAATATTTTATAGAAGATTCTTGGTGGGGCTTGAGAAGTACATATTCAATGATTTAATGCCCATTATACTAAATGCATGCATGACAATTTCTTTAGCACAAGTATGTAACCATACAAAATATTATCGCCTCCAACAAGGTTGGATGCACACAACCGCCCAACAAAGGTGGAGGAAGTGGTTGAGCACGAGGGACATAATGCTTTTGGTTAGTATAGGGTTCTTTGTGACATATATAAGTATAGTATAAAAAACCACAAGTTTTTAGAGAGAAAAATTTGCTATGTGATAAATTATCACAATCATATAGATTAATCATTCAAGTCTACCTCTAAATTATCCTCACATTCTCCAAAGTTTTGACTAACACTTTGTTACACTTTAAAATAAGAAAAGAAAAAAAATCAAATAATTAAAATTGTTTTTGATTGAGACAATTTGAAAGCAAAGCCTTGTATTTCCTTTATAGGCTTTACGACCACTCCATCCAACTACCTTCTACAAATATAGGATGAAAAATCCTTCTTCATTTTAGCCAAAAATTCAACAATCTCACATTTGATAAATGAAATATATTGTTGCTACACCAAAAAGAAATATTGTTTTCGACTGCCAATCATAATTATAAAGATGCAAAATTATCGTACTCCACCATAAAGGAATATCAACACTTAGTATAAACCATCCTAAGAACTTCATCACGACAAATATGAAACCTTACTCAATTTTTTTTTTTGGTATAACTTCCCTTTTTGGCTTACATGAAAGTTCATTATATATGGACATCAACTTTCAACATGCATCGTGCATTTACACCAATCTAATACCAATATGTAAATTCATGAATGCGTTAACAAAAATAATACACCCCTTTCCATGGTAGTATGGGCATACTACATGGAAATGTCAAATCTCAAAGAAATTTATCACTGTCAATTGTTAATAATGATTGACGCATTGTTAGTTGTATTAAAGTCTTTTGTCGACTCTGCTACACATGGACAATTTCTGTTGACATGTTCAAACTGTCCCATCATGTTGAATTTGTTTGGTATTTCTTATTCTTCTCATTTTGAATATAAATTTTTTACATTCTGACATAATATAATTTCTACCTTTTAGACTTTTCTCCTCAGATAAGAGTTTATCATTAACATCTGCATACTTTAGGGTTCCTTTCCCACACATTCAAATAAGATTTATATGCTTATAGGAAGATGAAAAAGATAATATGAGTGTAAATAGGTTGAACTGGTGTGACAGAACAGATAAAAAACCATATGCACCAATCTCTTGGACTTATATAATTGGATTTCATTTAGCCCATTAAAAAGCAACCTATTTCCAAATCAAAATTGGACATATTCATAGTGTAAACAACTAGAAGGCTGACACATGCCATAACCATATATAGAAAACTTGTTGGTTGAATCGGCGGTCGAACTGGTTGAACCGAAACCGATCATTATATCGGTTCAATTGAAAAACTAGTTTTAAAACATTGATCAAAACACGAATTCAAAAGTATAAAAAACGCAACACCATCATTTCTAGATACGATAGTCCCTTCCTTTTTTTTTTGTATTTTACAACATTTAGAATTCTTTACTTGGGGCTATGTATTACCATTTTTGTTACTATACAAAGAGATTTTTGGCAACTTATATAGGCGACGGTTTTGCAATTTCTTCAAAACAAGAAAGAAATTACAATAACGACAATAAATGGGTTGGTTCTTGTGCAGGTTTGTAATTCCTTTGACAATTTTAGAAACCAAATAGAAACAACAAAGAATGGAGTGCCAACCAAAATCATGCCATTCAAATTCCTTTAGATTTCAAAATTTTCGACAAATTCTATCCATTCCAAAAACAACATGTAAGCCAAAGCCCCTTATTTGATTGGATGGAATCGAATAGATTTTAAAATTTTTATAGAAATATTTATTTTTTGTAATTATATGTTAAACTTGAAGTTATAACTAATTTTAAAATTTTTGTATATCTCTTAATTAATAATTTTTTAAACTTATTTCTTTAAAATAATTGTTTAATAATTATAAAATTTTAATTAATTTTATAATAATAGGATATAAACTCGTCATGCTAAATTGATAATAGAAAAAACTAATTCCAAATATCGCATATCTACTTGCTCTAAAGTCTAAGCTTCAAACATGAAAAAACGTCAAAGCCCATAACGAAGATACGCTGAGACGATTCAAGTATTCAACGGCCAGGCCCAATTTCTCAATAACCCACGTTATGTTATAGTCTCTCCCAATTTCGACCGTTATCGCCAAGTTACAAAAGATTCGCAAATCGCAAGAACACGATTCCACTTCCACTGCTGTTGAGTGTTGTACGTTTTGTTCATCAATCGCTCCCCTTTCTCAGTTGAGAGATACCAGCGCAAATTACCAATCGCAGGCGGCAGGCCCTCTCTCTTTCTCTCTCTCTCTCATCGCAATCTGCTTTACTGCTTACGTTGCTTCTTCGAGTTTATCCCATTGAACTATTGAAGGTACCATTAAATGATTAAATTAGGCAATAAACTTCATTAATCATTAATACATTGGTTTATCCGAAATTTTTATCTTCTTTTGTTATGAATTAGGACTTAGGCCACATTAACGTTGTATATTATTGTTTTATTGTTAGTATCAATTTATCAGTAGCTTTCAGACGAGTTTAGTTTCTTTTAGTGTACTTTCTCGAATGGTTCAATGTTTGTCACTTGGTATCTAGATAGTCAGATAGTCACATTCGCCTTTGCCTTTGATTTTATGTCCAGGGCTCCAGACATCTAGCCATTGTATTTTCTACTTTCTATTATGGTTTGGTGTTTATGTATTCCAATCTATATAGTATGTCTGTAGGAGGTTAGAGGTATGTGTAATATATGATTTCTATTTTTCTGTGTAGGAAATACTGAAAAGAAACGACTGTTATTCTTGCAAAGTTCAAGGGAAAAACAGAAAAAGGAATAAGATCTCTGACAGGTGCTTTTGTTCCTTATCTAGTTTGTTGTATTATCACTGTTCTTATGATGTTTCCTAATAAAGACATATGTGATAGCCAAAAAGGCAAAAAAAGACAAAAAACTGAGCAACAAAAACAATCTCAAGAAGAATCTGTGGATAAATCTATGAAAATAGCTGGTTATTCTAGCGTTTTAAATGAGAATGATAAAGATTTACAACAAAAAATTATACACGAAAAAGAGCGTTGGAGACAGGTTATAATAAGAATAATTTCTGCAGTGAAATATTTGTGTAAATACAATTTATCTTTAACAGGATCTAACGAGAATCTTTATGAAGATAGTAATGGTAATTTTTTGGGGCTAATTGAAATGATGACAGATTTTGATGTTGTAATGAAATATCATGTTGGGCGTATAGGAAATGATGAAACTCATCATCACTATATTGGTCATAAAATTCAGGATGAAGTAATTTCTCTTTTAGCCCACATGGTGAAAACTTCTATAACTAAGATTATCAAGAAAGCAAAATATTTTTCTATTATACTTGATTGTACTGCAAATGTAATTCATCCAGAACAAATGGCTCTAGTTGTTCGATGTGTGAACATGTCTACTGAAAAAGTAAATATTGTTGAATACTTTATAGAATTTTTAAAGGTGGGAGATACATCTGGTGTTGGACTTTTTAATGAATTGTTAGATGTGTTTAAATTGCTTGATCTTAATGTTGATGATTTAAGGGGTTATGATATAGACTCGAATATTAAAGAAAAACATCAAGGAGTTCAAAAACAATTTCATGAAGTTAATCCTAGAGCATTTTCTATGGCTTGTGCTTCTCGTAGTCTTAACCTTACTATTAGTGATTTAGCTCATTCTTGTGATAAAGCCGTTTCATTTTTTGGAGTTTTGCAACGTATGTTTGAATTATTTTCAAGTTCTCCTAAAAGATGTAAAACATTACTTGATAATCTTCCAAGTTTAACTATGAAATCGTTATCCAAAACTCGTTGTGAGAGTAGAAGAAAGAGTGTCAAAGCTATTAGGTTTTATGCTCCTCAAGTAAGGTTGGCTTTGATAGAATTAAGCAAATCATGTGATGATGCAAAATCAAAGAGTGAAGCAGAAAGTTTGGTTAGTGATATAGAGAGTTTTGAATTTTTACTTAGTTTGATTATTTGGTATGATATATTATTTGCTATTAATATGGTGAGTAAAAAGTTGCAATCCGAAACTATGTGCATAGATGCTATCATTAATCTAATAAAAAGTGTGATGATATACTTTGAGAAATATAAAAATACAGGATTTGTCTCTAGTATGAATATGGCTAAAGCAATTGCATGTGATATGGATGTAGAAGCTACGTTTGATAATGAAGATGAAACACAATCAACAACTGAAGAGTCTTTTAAAGTTGAGTACTTTATGTATCTTGTGGATATTGCAATTGCTTTGTTGAATGATAGATTCGATCAATTAAAAACATTCAAAAGTATCTTTGGATTTCTATACTCAACTTAAAAAGTGTTGTGTTAGTTTTGCAACTACTTTTTCCCATAAGAAAGCGTGTGATGTGGCTATAGATGAACTCCTTTCTGAATTACAAGTGTTGCAGATGACTTTGCCAAATAAAATGATGTCAGCAGTTGAAATATTGGAACATGTGAATGCTATAGATTGCTATCCAAATGTTGCCATTGCATACCAAATCATGCTGACTTTACCCATCACTGTAGGGAAAAAAAATTAAAATTGAAATTATTAAAAAACTATTGGAGTTCATCAATCTCTGAAGAAAAGTTGGATGGTTTGGCCATGTTATATCTGGAGAGAGATACGTTAGACAATATGGATCTTGATAATTTTATTAGTGATTTTGCATCTAGAAAAGCTCATACAAGTATTCTTTTATAGTTTTTTTTTTTTTTTTTGGCAGTTTGTTGTTTAATATTTCCTTCAGCAGCAACAAAGTTTGGTCTTTGAAAGTGCATCATAGGAAGGTGAGTTTTGGTGTTGGTATTATTATTATTAGTGCACACAGTTTTTCTACATGTGTGAAGAGTTTAATACTAAGTTTGTGGTTTCAGTTTGTTTACAGATGTTATGAAGATGGTGTTGAGTTCTCTGAAATCTGAAGCTTTGTTGTGTAACATAACATGCTGTTGATGCCAATGACACAGTTTATCAGAATCTAGTCTCTTAAGATATACAAATATGGAAAGAATTCTACACCTTTGTTGGTGACAACTGGCAATGTTGGTAGAGCAACAACACAAGATTCTTTCAACTGGCAAATTGTTTTGAATAAATTCTTGGTTTTTGGAATGTATTGGGTTTATGAGTTACAGAGATAGCAAGAATTCTGGTAGCCCTTGTTTTGATATTATCTCACAAAAACCTGATTCTTATCCCATCGTCTTTTACCAGGTAATTGCTTAGTTTTTGTTTCTGAATTTTTAATAGCATTGTGTATGATATTAATCTTTTGCTTTACCATTGTTACAGGCTTGTTGATATTCACTAGCTTTATTTCATGGGCTTGATATAGCCAAGAGTTAATTGAACATTCTAGAGAACATCAGAGGTGAAACTTTCAGTTGTTTTGATCCTTTTGTATATCACGTTGTTTATGATGAATTTGTAGTTTAAATCTAAAGTTAAAGACTGCTTTGTTGCAGATATTTATGGATATGACTGAAATTGGTGGATGCTTAAAAGGGGAAATGCTGGATAATATAATACAGAGTAGACACATGAGAGTTGGTGAATTTGAAGTGATGTTTCTAGGAATATTGTGAGTATAACCCATCTATAGTTTACATGGTCAAATAAGTTTGATTTTGTATTTATCTAAACTGTTCCTTTTTTGTTTTGGTTGAGCCAGAGGCCAAGTCATTATGAATCCACTAATGGAGTTTTGTGCATCTGCATCTGCATATTAGCTTCTTTACTAGAGACTCAATTGCGATAAGGTCAGTATTTGGGGTTAAATGCAAATTAAGTTTTGCTATTTCCCACTTTATGCAACAAAATGAAACTCTGATTAGATCTGATTTTTTTTTTTCTTTTATTGTTATCAATTCTTATAGGAAACAGAGGGAGCTTGCTATGTGATTATGTTTTGTGGCGTGCAATGACGGATTGTAAGTTTTAAACTTTATTCTAACAAACAATTTATCTACTCTTGTTTTGGTCAGAACTTTAATCCAAATGAAGAACAGAATCAAAGTTTGATTAAGAAACATGAAATAGAGCACTTTGCTCTTGATTTTCCTTTGCAAAATGCCGAGTGTTTGGCATTGTTGATTGTGGAAGAAACTGAACAATGTTGTGGGTATTGTTTGATTATTTGAATAAACTGAAGAATCAAAACCTGTATTTGGTTGCAAGACAAGAGGCTGTTGATTGAATTTCAAAGGTTTGTTTGACCTTTGTTTCAAGAGTTTTTTTTGGTTAATTTAGGTTTAAATTCTTCTTGCTTAGATTTATTTATTTTTTCCACAAAAGAAGTACCACTTTTTCAGAATTAATTTCGGACCATTATGTGTGTATCTTTTTTTGTAAACTGCTTGGACAGCTTTCTTGTTGTCTATGAATTAATTACCTGTAAGTTATATTTCTTAATAAATATTTAATATCCCAATTTAATTTTTATATAATCTTGTTTAATAAAACAGAAGCACAATCCTTGAACAATGCACTTGCTTGCTGTTAGATGTTTATCAAATGGAACAGACTGAAACACCCCAGATTTTGGATTTTCAGGTCAGTTTTTTAGTTTTTGTGAATTAATTGAGTTTGTTTTCCTCTTGAAATCAAGAGATATTTCTACTTTTTTCAACATAGGTCAACCCAAAATTAAAGCAATATATTGAAATTCCAATATTTGTTTTTGAACCAAAAACAGTCCAAAGAATGGAATTGGTTGTGTAATTCATTGAAATGGAGGATGGAATTAGTAACTCCATTTTCTTTCATTAGTTGGGCTCCAAGACTGAGTTGCATAATGTAAAGAGGGTAAATTGGTAATTTCACAATGTAGGGATTGACTTCGTGGAATTTCAAACATCTGATATAACAGCGGTGGTTTTCTGCAATCTTTGAGCATGCAGAGAAGGTTGTACATTGTTTGTACATTGAGTTAGATTTTGCAAAAAAGATGATGAATTTAATGATAAGATGGGTTTTTGCAGGAGAAGGATCTTAAATGTATGGTGGTTGTGAGCAAGGGTTGTACCATGAGCTTTGGGAGTGGTACAATGACATCATTGCCTGAAAGCCCTGATAGGTGTGCTTGAGCCTTCAATTTTGAGTTGTAAAACTGTGACGATTCACCTACTTGTTCAAAAGGAGGAGCCTCAACTCAACAACATTAGCCCTTGAAAAATAAATCTTGGAATTATATTTAATTGTTGGTAGTATAATTTTGAAATGTTAAAACTACCGGTCAATTTACAAAAAAAAAAATGTGGGAGAATTAATTATGAGTAGTGGAATATTATGAGCTCATTGTTCATGGAATATTAGGAAAAATATAAAAATGGAAATATATATATATACACACACACACATTAAATTTTGTTTTTTAGACATTGTGTTTAGTATTTCTTATTGCTTATGTTGGCTGTGGGCTGGAGTTCCAAAAAGCTTCATAATTCCTTTGTAACGCCACTCTCCCCATCATTGTTACATGTTACATAAAATGATAAATCATTGTTAAATACATCTAATTTCATTATTACACGGTAAAAAAATACATCGTAAATACTGTTTATTTTAATGGAACAAAATCAATGATTAATCATTAATGCATAATTGCATATAGTCTCACTTTCACAAAAGAAGGTATAGTATGTTTGATGAAACAATTAATTATTGCTCAAAAATTGTCATCTATGGTTCGACAGAGTAACGCAAATGTTTATAGAAATATATTTTGTAAATAGTTTCTTTGTTAACATGTTATAGTTCGAACTAAACTCATTATTGTTAACATATTTTTGATGACTATGTGTTCGAAATCTGAATCATACTTCTCAAACTTAATCCTAACATCTCTGAAGATCCTATAAGCAAAAATCGAACCTAATCACACAATATCTGATTCTCGAGCAAGATATGGGATCTTAGGATCCCGACTAATATTGTAGGATTTTACACTTATCCGATCTCACCTCTTTAGTTTTTATTCTACAATCAAGCTTGAAATCAGACCTCTAAAATTCAACAATTTAAAATCTAGCATTGCAAATCGCAGCGTCACAACAACTTCATTAAGAGGGGTGGGTGTGGGCAACGCCCACACGAGTTACAAGGCAAAAAAACAAAAAAACGCTGTTATCATATGTGATGGTGGTAACGGGAAATAACGCGAAAGCCCTTAACATGTAATAACGGGAGGGTGGGGCGGTGTTCACTGGTGTTATCACGTGTTATGAGGCGTAATAACGGGAGTGGTGCGTTGCCCACTCCGAGTAGTCTAATATATTTCGAATTAGGGAGAGCATCCTAATACACATGTTACTCGCTATATGATCTTGTCCCTTTAAGCCATAGATAGTCCATAATGATCTTGTTTCTTTTCAATTTAAAATGTTGTTGAAAATATCAAATCTTCCAATCTTAACATTGGTTGAATGGTGTTATTAATTTGTATGTAGTTTGGAAAGATATGGAACAAGAGCAGCTTGGTTGGCTTGTAGGTAGTTATAGAAGTGTACATGGTTATTGGATGATAGCATTAGTATACCTTACCGATACATAACATGGCATATCCAAAGTACAATATTGTAGTCTCAATATCTATTAACTTTGACAAATTAAGGTACAACTTCAATAGTCTTGATATGTATGTATTTTAATTTTTACTGGTTATTGCAATGTATATTCTTATCTTACGTTTATTAGCAATCTACTTTTATTTCATTGACAATAATAGTAACCCATTTGGTTGCTTGTTGATAATACCCAACATGTTGGTAATGAAATGTAAGTACGTTGCTATTTGCTATGTGTAAAAACTAATGTACATTGCCTATATTGGTAAAAAGGAGTAAAGTTTATGTAAAGTTAATATTTGTGATGAATGTGTTTGTTTTGGGTGTTTGAAAGAAAAACAAAGCATTTATCATTTATCAACTAATCAACACATTCATTCATTCCACTACATATAACCAGCAACTCTTCCAGTTCAGAATATAAATACCCTTGTCTTTACAAGGCAACCACAACAACTACAACATATTCCGTTCTTTTCCTAAAACAAGCATTAAACCCAAACATAAATTAATAATTAAAAAAAAAAAGAGACCATAATTACAAATGATGGGTGGTTGATACATGACATCTTCTTCTTCTTCTTACTCTTACCTTTCCTGTATAATATAAGACAAGACTCCTGAAATAATCCACAACAATATACATATATCATCAAACTCCTCCCCTTCATGAAAGATGTATCAAAACATATTCAATTCTGCAAGATCATCCATTGGTATATCAAGCCCTGCTGTATACTGATCTTGTAATTCCTCTTCATCAAAGTTCAACAAAGAACTCAAATCCTGGGCCCCACCAAGCTCCGGCCCCACACCTAACTCATCCAACGGATCCAACTCATGAAGTGGCATCATCTCCTTGCTTTCTTGTGACACCATCCGAATGTCTCTTCTCTCAACATTTACCACCGACGACGGCTGTACCGGATGTAATGTCCTTCCAAATCCATTCCCAGACATTGGGACTCCAGCCGCCTTTTGTTTCGGCTTAGGTTTTGTCTTCCGTTGATCGCATCTCTTCCCTCCCATAACCGTGCCAACATCATCCAGTAAAAGTTCCTTCTTCTTCCCTCTGTTTGATATCGGCCCGTTTATAGCAAATGCCTCATCTGATCATAATCATAATTAATTAACATTTAATGGGTAATACTATGAAAGGATTAGTAGGGATTTTGTACCAGATGACAGCCTTGAATCTTGATGAGGGTTTTGGAATCCGATATAATTGGTGGTGGTGTTATTGGCTACAGAAACTGTAGGCTCCAACTCATGGTCCTGAGGGGCAAAAAGGACATCTCGCAATGTAGGCACGTTGAAGCAGCTTATACCTGATTTCGCAAATTTACGACATCTGGCAAGTGTCCTCCTTCCAAATGCCAATGCAACTTGCTTTGGGACTTTCGGAATCCCACCTCTTGAAGCTCCTCTAGTAGCCTGTTTTTTTATATATGCAACAAAACTTGGTTAAATATTTATAAAAAGTAGGATTAAGAAACTATTTTTTTTTTTTTTGAAATAGTAACAAGTTACCAGAAGTTTCCTGTGAGCAAGCTCCACCAATCTATCAATTGCAACCTGCTCAAGATCTCTGCATAACAATTAACAACAAGATGATGTTTTAAAATTTTTGAATTCTGACCTAATTTGACTTTAAGATATTAAAATAAATAAACTTCTTACCTCCCTACAAAGCTGCCTCCAACGCCTTTACATACTTTCTCCAAGCATGCCTTCTTTTTACCATTCTATATAATAAATAAATAAAACCACATCAAACACTTGAAATCATATTAGGTCAAATGTAACGCGAAATTAACCTGTTGTCTAAGTCTTATCTTCAGCTGGTCAATTTCATGTTTGATTGCTTCATCTTCTTTGTCATCCAAGTTAGGCTGTCAAGAAAAAAGAATTATTTTTTTTTTTCAAAAAGGACATTTTTTTTTACAAAATGTGAATCAAGGGACAGTGAGCCTACCACTAACTCAGGGTATAGACCAATGCTCTGAAGCTCTAAAAGAAGTCTGTCATCTACACGCATTTGTTCATACTTATTATCAAATGAAGAAATGTTAAAACTTTCCATCTGTAAGTCCTTTGAAATCCCAGCTAAAAGCTCAACTTCTGAATGCACGTCTTCACATGGGGAATCATTGATGCTAGGGCTTCTAAAGGAGTTGGAGCAACCACTTATAGAAAAAGACACCTTCACAGAATGAGGGCTTTGAGCATGGACACCAAACACTGTGTCACATTCAAATTCCCTTCTTGCCCTCTTTCTAGGTTCATAATCATCCATTTCATATGCTGAATCACAAAAACTATCTTGAACTGTTGTTATATTTTCTTCTTCTTCAAGTTCATCAATGTTCTCTTCTATAATGAGTGCTGATAATACTCTTTGAAACAATGGAATGAATTCTTTAGATGTTTTTTCTGAATCTAGTCTCCCAGAAAAAGATTCGCTCCCCTGGTGTTTCACATGCCCGTTTCTTTCCTCATTTGGAAAGTTCACCTAGGACACCAAAAAACAACATGTTGCATTTATTAACATATTTATTTTGAGAAAAAGGAAGTAAATGAATCAAGATTCCAGGATTAAAAACTTACCACAATATTATTTTCACGGCCATGAAACTGAGGAAAGTTTCCCTGAACATCCTGCTCAGATTTTAGCTGATTCAAAAGCATCACAACAAGTGATTTAAAAGTTAAAAATCCATAAATTTTTTCGACAAATTGTTTAAAAAAAAAAAAAGCAGTTCTCACCTGCATGGATAAATAGAATCTGTCTTTTGAGCTAACAGGAGCAAATATTGGTTCCATTTTTTTCCAGAAAGGGTTTGAACACGCTAAATCTACACAATCAATAATAAAAAAAAAGTTATATATATAAAAATATTTCTAAATCTAACAAAAATAGATAACAAATATAACATCTTACAGCTAGCATTGCGAGCATGATTTGCAGCTGCCAACAGTTCTTCACGATCATCATCAGATTTTCCTGAAACTTTATATAAAAAATTTAATATTTAAAAAAAAAAATACAAAAGATAGCAATTAGCAGTATCTATACCTGTGAAATCTTTACCACTGTTTTGCAAATGGCCAAGACGTGAAAAGCCCTTACGATCTGAGAGCTTTTTCAAAGGGCGTCCTTTATTACTGGCAAAAAATGCATCATTCTTCATTCCATGAGTAAACCAGAAAAATAACAATTATATAAAAAAACTATAAATAAAATTTAAAATCTGAATACCTTCCATTCTTCTCATAACCAGGCCTATTTCTTTGAACTGGCTTAATCATGGGTGAATTATCCATTTTCTCCCCATTCACTGAAGAGCTAGCCCTAGCAATCAAAGGACCTCTTCCACTTCTCCCTTGTCTCCTCACACCCCCCTCACTACTTTCTTCATTAATTACAGATTTGACCTTCACTCCAACTGGTAATGAAGGCACAACATTCTGACCTTCATTCACATTTACATTTACATTTACAATTGGATTTGCATTTGCATTTGCATCTGTATCACCGTTTCCCTTTTCTTTCTCCTTCAATCTGCTTTCACCACCAACAGATTCTTCACTTTCAGACATACGTTGTGGAGATTGAACAATCTCTGGTTTAGGTTTAAACTGTTTTGAAACAAGAGTACCATTTGTCCCATCAGATGCCAATCTAACACTAATATCAGAATGCGAACAGCTGTCAGATGATAACTGCTGTTTTTCTTCTTGATTTGAAACAGGAGACACCAGATTCGCTCTCCTTGTTCTTGACATTTTCT